AGGACCCGCACACAGGAGGCTCTGGGCTGGAGAGGCTGAGAGCGCCACACGGCCCGTGGTAAGGCCCATCAGACCTGATGAGGCCTGGCTTCCCAGGTGGGGAGGCCAGACCCCGAGCCTGAGGGTGTCCAGGACAGAGGCAGGCAAAGGGGAGGGGGATGTAGATGGGACCTCACTCTGCACTCACGAGGTCAGAGTTGAAGGGCTTCACGTTGGTGTTACGGGCAGAGCTGCTCGCCAGAGACCAGACCTTGGTCTTGTGCTTGAACGCGGCTCTCACCTTCAGGGCAGAAAGGGGATCATCAGAAGCAATTTCAGAGATTGACAGAGAAACAGATATCATTCTAAGAGCCTCTGGGAACCTGCACTGTAAAGGCTCCAGAGAGAGAAGGCAGGGGAAGATCAGGGTGCGCAAACGTCAGACCCCAATAGCCTGCAGCCCCCAAGCTGAGCTGTGTGTCTCTGACTCATTCGGCAGCTTGCGTCCCCTCCACGGCCCCAGGCCCTGCGTGTGGAGCAGCTGGGTCTGGCTTGGGCTTTGCTGGCTTCCTCACCATTCTGAACAGGGAGACAGGACACTGAGGAATGGTGTGGGGGTGGGCGGTGTGACGGGCAGCAGAGATACATAAGTAAATAAACCAATGTGCACATGGGGTGGGCCAAGCCAGGTTCCCAGGCACAGCCCCTTTCTGCTGTGTGGGTCACAATCTCATTCCTGCTGGGGCGGCCCCCTGGTCTCTGCAGAGGTGCTCCCTCCTCCACTGGTCACAACTACATCTGACTCTCCCTAAGAGGCCAGACACCAAGTAAGGGCCTGACTCTCCAGCTCAGCTGCTCCCCACCATCTCCCTCTCCCTAGTTGTCCACACAGCCAGGAGTGCTTGTGTGTTATCAGTGAGGGAGGATGCTTGCATGTTGCCTGGTAACCAGGAAGGGAGAGAAGGACCTGACAGGGAAGCAGCCTCCCTGCACACGACCTGTCACCAGTGCCAAGGCTCATCTGGGAGAACAGCCTGACAGGGCAGCACTGTTCCTGCTCCAGGTCCCTTGTATATGTCAGGAAGTAGAGCAGACATACCTCTGAATTCAGGAGACAGTGAAAGAGGAAGATGAAAAAGCCCTGGGGAGGAAAGCAAGGAAAATGCAGCATTAGGAAGACTTGCATCTTGTGACAAACACATCCTGAGGGCTTTTCCCTATGTCACACACGGGCTCTGAGGACGGCACTGGCACAGCTCACTGTTGGTAGCTCGGGGATGAGCTGTGATGCCAGATCCTATGGTCTGGAGTCTGTGAGCACAGCAGGGCATCGCAGGTCCCACCTGTCATCTAGCCTGGAGGCAGGCAGCCACTATGATCAGAGTTCAGAGGTGGCTGTGCTGCTCAGGCAAATATACAAAGACAGGCGGATTCCCAGAAAAGGCTGACCTGGGAAAGGAGTGAGCATGCTGGGAATGGGCAAAGGTGGGGACGTTAGGCTATCACGGAACCCGAGCCTCGGCGTCCTCATTTTCAGGCAGAGGATGATGATAATGCAAACAGGCCCAAGAATGAGGATGTCACCAAACACTGTGTCAGGCACTAGGCAAACATTTCGTGTGAGTTGTCTCACTTAGTGCTAAAAGCAGACCTATGAAGTGGGTTCTAGTATTGTTTCCATTTTATGGAGGAGGAAACTGGGACCTGGACAAGATAAATGAAGAGCCTCAGAAGATGGAGTGAGTAAGGGCCAAAGCCAGCACAATCATTGCTGCTTCACTGAAAACAGCCAGAGGGACAGTATGCATGGGGACTTATTACAAGTCAGAAGGCTGGCACACTGCTATGAGGTGTGGCCCCTGGTCACGAGGACCCGTGCACACCAAGGACGGCGTGGTGAGGGCTGGGGTGGGCCACACTGATGTTCGTGAGGACTCAGCCTTAGGTTCGCAATGGGGGCTGTGGATGGTGAGGGGTACCACTTCCACCCTTCCTTGGAGGGCTTATGGGCCTGGGGACTCAGACTCGGCATCCCAAGTCTCTGGTTTCCAGGCTGGTGACCCTTCCCTGCCCCTCCAGGCAGAGGACAGACACGGCCTCAGGACCCGGGGTGCTCCCCACCACCACTTTCCCAAGGCCGGCTCCCTTTGCTGACCATCTTCCCTTTCAGGCCTGGAGGCACCTCCCACGGATGCTGCCCGGAGGACGAGTATCATGGGTCATGACCCCGCAGGCCATTTGCCCAGAGAGTGTGGTGTGTGTTCTGCCCATGCCTCTGTCCTTGGGCCTCAGGGATGCCCTCATGCTGGGTCTGCTGAGCTGTGTGAGGGGACAGAGACACGTCTCCCTCCTGCCCTTCTGGCTGCCTGCTCCAAGGACATCTGTCACAGAGCTGACGGCCAACTCACCTACCTGACAGCCCCATCAGGCCCTTACCTGTGAGGAGTTGAGTATGGCAAACACGTATTGGAAGACCACGGCCTGGCTGTTGACAGCAAGCACGCCAAAGCCCCACGAGGTTCCCAGGAGGGGCAGCAGCACAGCCACGGCTTTTGCAGTCAACCTGAAAGCGAGGGAATAGCCATTCTGGGTGGAGAGCAGGCAAGGTGGGCCTAGAGGATGGGCCCCCAGGTGGGAGGCTTCTGGATGCGGGCAGCATAGCCCCTGCCAGCCCCAAGCCCTGGGCCCCTCCCCACAGGTGACTGTAGGTGAGGAGCTGACCACCGGCTCGCTAGGAGACAGTGTCCCTGCCAAGCGAGACCTGGGCCGAGTGAACAGCTCTGCTTCCGCTCTGGGGCAGCTGGCACCGGGCCCCAGGAGCCTGCACACCCTCTAGGCACACTCAAGTCAGCCTCTCTGATCTAGCTGGTGATGCTGGGTGGAAATGCTGACTCCCAGGCACCCACAGAGGAGAGCAGAGCCAGGGAGCACTGGGGGTGGGGGGTGTCTCCTAGCACCGGACACCTGAGCCCCAGCCTCGCAGGCCCACCCTCAGACAGTGAGTTCTATGAGAGGAGGGTCCTGGTCCCCACCATCCGCCAGAGCCCAGAACAGAGCTGGCAGAGCCTCAGTTAAACAAAGGAGGCAGTGCTCATGAGCTGCCTGACTCCAGGCCAGTTCTGACGTCCCATGCAGATCATGAGTGCCCACTGAAGTCCGGCCCACGCTGACTTCTGATGCAGCTCAGCTCTTCACAGGGGGCTTGTTGCATGTGAGGTTCAGAGAAAAGTTCAGAGACCGAGGCGGGCTGTGCTGGCAGCCCAGCAACCACCACTCCCTTACCACGGTGCACTGGCTGCGTGCCTGCTGGGCCTTAGAACCCTTCTCTTCACCCTACCACAAGCTGCCTCTCCCCTAGGGATGAAGTAGTCCCCAGATAACACATAGGAGACCCCCTTTTGAAAAATGGGGATACCGAGTCTGGGAAAGGGGACTGGTCCTGGTCACAGGGAGTGAATAAGGAGCCAAGTAGGGATGTGAGCCCAGGGCTCCTGTATGAGAGCAGGAGGCACAGAGCGCCCACCCCTCCTGCTGCCCAGAGCTGCCAGCCCAGAGGCCCGCTCACCTGAAGGCGTTGGGATCTCCATGCATCTTGTAGTTGTCGGCACTGATCTGTGAAATGACCCTGGTCACGGCAATGAGGATGCCAGTGTTGACCTGCACAAGGAGACATGGCGGAAGATGAGGGAGGGGCCGCTGCTACCAGAATACGGGCTTTCTCTGCACGGTGCAGCTTCATCTGCAGAGTACCTGCGGCACCTGCACAGTCCTATTTCCACCTGTGGGGTACCTGCTCCCACCTGCACAGTTCTTGCTTCTTCCTGAGCAAGATCTCCTGAGCAAACTGGTGGCACATTGGCGGGAAATCTAGTGCACACCCGTGGGCATTCTCCTACACATGCCAGCATGCCAGAGTGCCCTCTGGAGCTGACCTCGGTGCTGCTGAGAGAAGAGAGTGCACACCCAGCTCCCAGCTCCAGGAGCACATCAAAGAAAGTCCTTGGGTGCACACTTCATCTCAGCATTTGCTCAATGTGGGTGACTTTGGGTGATTTACCTAAGTCCCATGAATGTCAGTTTCCCCATCTGATGAGAAAAAGTAATGATGCCCACAGTGCACACTGATCACTGAAAGCAGAAGAAATCAAATCTGTGAGCCCCAGCACACTACCTGGCCCTCAGGCCAGTCCCTGCCGAGCCTATGGCTGTGGGACCCACGGGCCACAGCAGAGGGGCCCTCCTCTTCCCCCCAGCATCCCCTCCTGGCTAGGAGCCTGCCAGAAGGCCCCACTGGTGGTCTAGGGGCTGAGGGGGTCCCTGGCAGAGGCTCCAGCACAGTCCGTCCCCTCTGGTGGTCAGGTCCCAGGGCCTGAACAGGAGGCTGACAAGCTGGGGAAGTAAGGCCCACAGCTGGACTCAGGGGCTGGCTGTGGCCAGTGACCTTATTTTGGGAAAACTCTGAGGTCAATTCCAGACTTGGTGAGGAATCCGGGTCCAGGGAACAGGAAAGCCCAGGGGTCTCATCACAAGCCCTCTTCACTGCTGGACGATGGTGACTGTGGTTCTGCCCCACCCCCTCGGGTGAGAAGCCTAGGCAGACACAGACTTGGGAGATGTGGGCCCTGGGTGGCTAACTGCTTCACAAACATGGAAACGGGCGACAAGTGATGGATTAGCTTTGGGGTCTTTTGTTATTTCCTGGCCTCCCTACTGAGACCCAGAAGGCAGCATGTCAGTTACTGGGCAAGCTGCTCCCCTTATTGATGGGGACAGTTCATCATTGTTCCTGTCTCCCAAAGATGTGGAAGGATTTATTTATTTTTCCGCCCCTCTGCCAGACAGTCACATTTGCCATGGCACCTAGTGGAGAAGAAGCTGATGCCTGGTCCCATCTGTGCACAAGGGGGAAGCAAATTCAGCATCTTGAGGAAACCCCCAGCAGATACGGGCCTGCCCTCCGCTTCACTCGTCCTACCTTATGCCTGCTTCCAACTGGAAAAGGCTGGGGGGAGGCACACGCAGCAGGAACACAGGGCGTTTCATCAACCAAGCATCTCTGCTTAGAGCAGCCAACAGCCTACTTCTGACAGACGCATAGGAATAACCATGGGCTGCGTTCCAGCAAAGACAAGGCGGGAAGGGGGACGTTTAACACAACGGGGACCTCAGTGGGGTATGGGACAGGGCTGAGCCAGCCTACCACGGTGTTTCTAGGCCTGGCCCAAGGCCACACATGTGCATTTGTGAGAAAGCCCTGGGAGTGCTTCACAGTGAAAGGGTCATGTGTGCACACATGCATGTGTACCCATGCGGGTGTCTGTATCTACTTTGCTTGTGTGTCAATTGCTGCATCTATGTCTGTAACTGTTGCTAGCTGTGCTCGTATCCAGGTCTGTAACTGCATCTATGAGTCTGTGACTGTGCCCGTATACCTGCACCCACACCCCACCTACTGAGATGCTGCACCACTGACTTCTCCTCAGCTGAGAGGATGGTTTTAAAACTCCAGGGACTCTTTCTCTTCCCCAAACTGGGGAGTCCTCTCCCTGGCCGAGCCAGCACAAAACAAGCCCCTTGGGACTCATGCTTGACCCTGCCACCCACAGGGTCCCTGCTCTCAGGGTCCAGACTCTGTGGCTTCTGTAAAAGCAGCTGGTCCCATTGGCATGTTTGCCTAACCAGAGCCTAACGGACCCACCCAGGGAGTGATGCCATTTCCCTTTGTAATTGCGGGGACACCTGTGAGGACCAGCAGGCTCTGCCCTATTCTCCCAGCAGTCAGCCCAGCAGGCGGGCAGCAGCTCCTACTGCCTGCCCCTGCAGGTCACCGAGCAGGACACACAGAAACCACACATCCCAGCACAAATACACACTGTTCTCCTGTGTTTAGTTTAAAATTTGCAGGTGACATATGGGGTGTTTTTAAATGCATAGAGTTAAGGCACACACTCCCCAGAGCTGAGCCCCACTAGGGGACCAGCACTCCATCTGTGCTGGCCAGACATCTTCTCTGTGAACACTCACTCTGACAGAGCTTTTCACATTTAAATAAATGGGGTCAGGGCATGAATGTCATTCTGAAATTGGTGTTCTTCATTTGGAAATTAGTCTGAGGACCTCTGGGAAAATGGGAAGGTGGCTCAAGATGACATGGCCATGGGTCCTTGAGGAGATAAAAGCCCCCACAGTCCCCCCTTGACCCCCCAGGCCAGTGTGAGGCCTGACAAAGTCAGAGAGTGGGGCTGGCAGGACCACTGCCTCACTCCAGCCCTGAGTTCCAGGCCTTTTCTGCCCATTTGGCTCTGTGGCCATATCATCTCTACGGCAACGACTCAGCCCTGCGGCTCTAGTGTGAGCACTGCACACGCACTTTGTAAATACATGGCTGTGGCCATGTGCCAGGGAACTTGATTTGCAAAGTGGGTGGCAGGCCTCACTATGAAACCGCGTACCTTTCCAGCCCCGGTCTCCCTCCCTGCCACCTCACTGCTCTCCATGTCCCCGGTGGGCACCATGGACCTCACTTTGGTGTAATCGGAATTGCCTGGGAGCTTTGAAAGACCCTGCAGCCCAGGTCCGAAAGAACCAGAACCTCTGGAGGTGGGGCTGTGGTGGGAATTGGTTTCCAGCCCCTGCTAATACCATGTAACAAGTCTGAAAGCTGCTCTCCAGAGAGGGTGCTGACCTGAGGGGTGGGGTGGGGTGCGCCTGGAGGCAGTGCCCTCTCCGGAGTGACAGTGGGGACTGGTGCAAGCCCCGGGGGGCACAGGGATGCTGGGATCCTGGTGCTGGACCCCGTGCCCAGGAGGCTGTGAACCAGCAATGATCCATCTGAGACCGAGGCTCAGCCTCCACGGTCAGCCGCACGGGGATGCCCCAGGTTACGCAGGCCTCACCACAGACCCCACCAGAAATAGACCGCTGCCAGATAGGCTGAAAAGTTGCATTTACACAAGGTCGCCAGACATCCAATGCTAGCACCCAGTTCAATTTAAACAACAATGAACCCAGTAGGTGGCCTCACCCCTCTGAGAAGTCTGCAAGTTGTGTCATAAATAAGACTCCTCCCCTTTAAACCCAGCTCTCAGCCTTGGGGCTGCCGCCCCTACCCTCTATCCCAGACACCCCAGCTGGCCTTCAACCAAGCCCTCCCTTCCCTACAGGGCCCACCTGAGGCAGTGTCTTCAACCCTTCATTATGAGGTCTCCGCAACATCTCACACATGGTCCCGCTGCCTCTACACCCCACCCCTCATTCATCCTATTCAGGATGTGTTGTCCCTTCCTGGGAAAGGCTACTCTGGACAGACAGTGGCCAGAATGCACTTCAGTGCTTCTGTTCCTGGGCCAGTGTGGAGCCTGGAGGGCAGGGAACAGCACCCCTGGGGGGCCGGAGCTGGCAGGCCTGCAGGGCAGGTGGTCCCAGCAGCACTGACATCCCTCCTACAGACAGAAGGACTGAGGGTCAGTGCCCACAGAAGCAGAGGCTGCTGGACCCCCTCCCCTCACAGGTGATTCTGACCTTCCGTGATAGACAAGAAAGGAAAACCTGCAGGCACCACATGGGGGCCAGCAGCCAGATGAACTGCATCACCTCACATAACCTCCCTACCTGTGGACAAGCAAACTGAAGCCCAGAGAGGTAGGTTTCCTGCCTGGGACACCGAAGGAGCTGAAGGTGGAAGGAGGGTCAGTGTCAGGAACCAGGCACCTGGGAGTGCCGTGGCTGCACTGCGGTCTGAGCTGTGGTCTTGGATGTGCCTGGGACTGTGGTTGGGGGCTGTGGCTGTGGCCGTGGTCTGGGCCACGACTAGGATGTTGCCAGGGCTGTGGCAAAGCTGTGGTTGGGGGCTGTGGCTGTGGCTGTGGCCGTGGTCTGGGCTGTGGCCTATGGCGGATGACAGATAGCCACAGCCACCCACAGCCATGCTTGAGGGAGCCTGCAGGTGAACACTGGGCCTCACTCCCCTCCCGCTCTCTGGTCTCCTGCCAGAGTCTCCACAGACCAACACAAAGCCCCCGTGTCCCTGTGACCCAGCCCCCCCACTGGGCCCCTAGGATCCTGCAGGGAGTGGCTGGGCCACAGAGCCCCAAGCTGGGAGCCCAGCCCAGCTCTCCTCTCACACAGAGGCCAGGTGTGGCGGCCGCAGGTGCCTAGAGGCTCCCCACCACCTGCTTGTCCTTGTGGACACCCCAGAGCACATGTCATTGTACCTGTCCCCTGTCCCTCAATTTTTCTCTATAACATAGAAAGTACCATCTCTTCAAGCAGCTATTTAGAGGCCAGTAAAAGAGAAACAATGTGAAAACACTTTGCCACTTAAAAATGGACACCCTGTAAACTCACGCCTTATATATACTGCAATGTTAAGGACATATTAGAAGTTTCCCCGAACAGCAAGGAGGTGGCCCGAAGTGGCTGGTGAGCTCAGCGAGGGCCACAGCCTGCATCCAGAGACCCCAGGATGGTGGTGTGGGGTGGCCATGGGGACCCCTGGGGTGCTCCTCGACCAGAGGGCCACCCTGTGGCCTGGCCCGGTCACTCAGAGCGTTCTGCCCCGCCGGTCTAAGAGATGTGGCTCATCAGAAAGGATGAAAGGCGATCCTGGGAATTTGGGGGGAAATGTCAGTAGAACCACAGGGGTGTTTTCCCAGGACATTGTTGCTAGGATACTCTGTGGTCCCAGGATCTCTCACCTGCACTCGGCCCACCTGTCTGAGGACGGAGCCCTCCTGGGGAGCAGCTGAGGGACTGGACCCTGTCTGGACTTGGGCCCAGCAGCAAGGGCCCGTGTTCCTGACTGAGCTCTGCCCGGCCTCTGTGGGTAGGTTTCCTGCCCCTTGTGACCACAGGGATTCTGCCTATGGCTCCTGGGAGCCTCCACTAACACTCCCTATGCAGCTGTGGGATCCGGAGCTCGGACCCTGGAGAGGGTATGTGGGGGGAGCCATGGAAGACCCCCCTGGGGGCCTGCATCTGCGCTTGCTGCCTGGTGGGAGCAGCCCTGGCCATATCCGGGTCTAGGTAACCTGAAAACATGCCCTGTCTCCTGAGCACCATCTGGGGAAATGTGACCCCATCATCCCCCAGAGGGGCTGCACCAGCTTACCACGTGACCTCAGGCCCAGGCCCTCTCCTGCAGCCCCACCCCAGCCCGATGTGTGCTCACACCACAGGGAACATACCACGATGACCGCCAGGGCAGGGGCCACGAAGGCCCAGATGGCACCGCTCTCGAGTGACAGCCAGCAGCTGTGGAGGGAAGCAGAGCATTACTTCACCATCGTCCACCTGCCCAGGCTCTGGGCACAGTATCTTTTCCACAGGGTCAACCCAGGGCACACCCATAATGACACTGTTAATCCCCAACAGGCCCTTTTGTATTCTGTCTACCATGGTCTCCCATCTCTCATTCTTGGAAAGAGTGTTCCTGGTTTGCAGACCGGCTCAGGCAAGGGAAGGCTTTTACAGGCCCTGGGTTAGAGGGAGCATTCATAACCTCTGGAGTGTAAAAGCCAAATCGTTGGGGTTTTACTATGAAAAATAAAGAAACTGACCTTCGCCAGGGGCTGGCTTTCCTCCAGAGAGGCTCAAACGCTGACCTAACTAGTTCCTTCTGCAAGGGGGTGGGCAGGCATTGCAGGCACAGTGCCCACCCTCCCACCTGCTCACTCACCACTGGTCAGCTACACCTCCCGGCACTGCCCCCTAAAAGGTCCCAGTGGGTCTCAGCAATTGTTCTGGTTTCTGGAGAAGCCTTATCTCAGATGTGGGGTCCAGTGTGAGGATGTAAAATTCCTCCTGGCTCCCCAGATGTGACACCAAGAACTTGGGCAAGAAACTAGTTCTGTTGCTATTTCATTTTTTCCCAGGGCATTAGAACTGTCGAGAGCCTGGGGTTCCCTGTACATCCCATTGCCCTGATCTGGGGTCCACCCTGGGCCCGGGCCCATCAGCCCCTGCAGGCGTAGGGCACAGTCCTCACTACCACGTTTCGGGGACGTCCTCGCAATGGCCTCGTTCCTCCGTCAGTGACACTGAGCTGCAGGGGGCCCCACAGAACATCGGCACCCACCAACTGCATCACCTCACATAACCTCCCAACCTGTGGACAAGCAAACTGAAGCCCAGAGAGGTTAGGTGAGCCAAGGCCACTCCCCAGGTGCCCTGCCTTTCCTGAGACCTCCTGGACCAGGAGACACTAAATGCCCCAAACAGGTGACAGCACTTGGAGGAGGCTGGCTCCTGTCTGGATACCCAGAGCACAGAGAGTAGAAAGCTCTTGTCTGAGGAGGCAGCGTTTAAAAGAAAACACACAGCTGATCTGAGGGGTCCTCTGCACAGGTGCAGGTCCAGCCCAGCTCCCATGACAGTGATGATTCTGCAGAGAAAGCCCGTGCGGATTTTAAGTTAAGGATTTTCTAATATCCCGTCCTGTTCAGAGCCTCCTGGAGCTCCCAAACCTCAGCTGGGCTGCCCCACTCTCAGCATGGGAGTGGGACAGAGGTTTGTGTTAGACATGGACACGTGGCCCAGCACCCACAGGCTCCAGAAAGAATAAAACTGCACAGATGCCATGGAAATGGGTCTGAGAAGTCTCTATTTTTAAATTAGTGTCTCAACTTCTGAAAGCCTCCAGGGGCCAGAACAACGGCTGCTCACTCATTCTTGTTTCCCTGCGCCCAGACAATGCCTTTCTAATGCCTCCTCTTCAGTAAATTGTTGCCCTAAAGGAGAAGAGGCTAGATTCCTCCCAGCTTAGCGATTCAGCTGAAACATCACCTCCTCCTGAGGCTGTAGAAACGTTTAAGTCCCTTTCTCTTCCCAGTGATGTTCTCCTTTGGTGTTTTCACTCAGCTTGGCTTCCAGAAGACATCTGAGGAAAAGCCAATTTCTCTTGCAAGGAAAGGAAATCTTATTTCTGGAACTTGAATGCTTGGCCTTTTTCTCATTCGGCTATGGACAAGGGGCTGCAGCTCCAAAGTGCTGGCACGAGGTCTGGAACATCGTAAAGCCCCACATGCTTCTCCCCACCATGCAAACCTCAAGGCCCGCCTGCCTTGTGCACGTCAGGCACGCTTATGTTCACGCACTCACTCAGCTGAAGATTCTTGGGCACTAATGCATACAAGCCACTTACTGACCACCCCAGAGGGCTGAGAGTCAGGGGACTGGCCTGTGGGTCTTGGAAGATACGGGGATGAAAAGGTTCCCTCAGGAACCCCCCACTGCCAGACGTAAGGTGGGAGCATGGCCATGTTATGGCCGTGGGTCCCGCCCTATCCAGTTCGTCCTGTGGGGCAGGGAAGCTTGCCTCATACAGCAGCCCCTGCAAGACAAAGGGCTGAGGCCAAGGCCCTCACTCTGGCCTTTGCCTGTGGATGACTGCCAAACACAAGGGGTGGTCCTCTCACTTACTTGTTACTTGTCCCGTAACTGTCCATGGCAAACGAGATGGACACAGTGCAGATCAGAAGAGGGAGACCTGCAGAGGGAGTCAGGAAGTCCATTAGCAGCTCCTCCAGCCCCCAAATCACTCCCACCTGATTCGTTCAAGGTGCCGGGCACACACCAGCCCCAGGCCCAAGAAGCTCAGTCTAAACAGAGATCATACACTCACACGCATGCTCACACACACACTCATACATGCACACTCACACGTGTGCACACATACACACACACACACATGCTCCTACACGCACATATGCACGTGAATCTCAAGGACCATCTGTTGCGAATCTAGCTCTGAATCTGTAAACAGCCCACTGTGACTGCTGGGAAAGCAGTGCCTCTACAGGCCCAGGTACAATCAGCACCCCCTCCCTGTGCTCCCCCTGCAGTGACAGCGGGTGCAGAGGAGAGACAGCAAAGGGCCACTCCCTGACCCACCCACTGAGCAGATCCTCAGGGCCTTGGAGGGAACCAGCTCCTGTGAGGCAAACTATGTTTTGCATGTTCCTAGAATAAAGGGTTGGGTGAAGGCACTTTCAGAACTCAGGCTCTTTGGGCCACCCACCTGCCTGCCTGCCCCCGAGTGCCTGGCGGCAGGGTCTCCAGAGATGCTTGCTCTTGGCCCCAGGCCTCAAAGATGCTACTCTCCCACAACCTCCAGGGCTGCTCTAAGCACCAGTTTAAAATAATCTTGAAAAGGAAGTCTCCTGCACAGTTGTTCTGTCATTGCTGTGATGTCCAACCAGTTGTATGCATTACAGGACTTCTGGGCCAGGAAGCCGCCGGGCCCACATGGCTGCCGGTTGGCTGCTGGGGCGAGGGGGCCCTGTGCCCCCTTGTCACATTTGTGCTTTCCAGGGCAAACATGGCCAGATGCACCTGCTGTTGTTGCAGCCTCTGCTGCAGGCCCTGCCTGGGAGAATTGGGGCCACACGCTACCAGGATGGCACACTGGGGCCCAGTGTGGGCCCTGGCCACTCACTGAGGGCCTCACGGAGTCCTTGCTGCCTGCTCATGGGTGTGGAAATACCACAGGGCACCTGATATGGTGAGGGGCCATGGGGGCCACAAGTTCGGGGCACTGTCAGCCACCTGGTGCCCAGAGGCGCCACCACTAAAGGCCCAGTGTTCACGGAGGCAGACAGGCCGTGCAGGAGTGGCACTTCATGTAGAGCCCGGGGGCCATCCTGGTGAGTTCTGGAAGGCAAGGACCAGAGGTGCCTCGAGAGCAGATTTTCAAGTTGGGAGGTTGAGGCCTCCATACTGAGCCAACACCTGCACCCTCCTTCCCCAATCCTGGGCAGGACGAGGGGCTCAAGTCAGGGCTAGTGCCTCTTTGCTGCTCAGTTACATGAGGAGTTGAAGATCCTTTTTCTGCACTCACAGCTGACATGTTCTCATCTGACCCCAAAGGCAGCACTGAAGCTCCTTTGCCATTTCTTCCCCGTGTTATCCTGGGTCCAGCAGAGGCTGGGCTGTGGGCAGTGACCAGACAGTCTGTCTGAGAAGAGGGCTGTCTGCAGGAGCCAGAGACGGATGTTCTCAAGAGGAAAGGTCCCAGAGGAAGGGATGAGGAGCTATGCAGCAGGACAGAGAAAACAGCCAGAGGCGAGGGTGGACCTTGGAGCCAGCAGGCACCTGATTTTCTTCAGGACCACCTGGACCAGCTGTGCAGCTGTAGGGCACTGGCTGAACCTCTCTGGGTGTCATGAGGATCACAGGCGATCCAGCCACATATGTGAATAACAGGGCTAGCGCTGCATGATGCTTATCCCTGTAAGTCCCCAGGGTTAGGAACCTTTCCCACTGTTGCTGTCATCAGAAACTCACGCCCTGATAACCCATGCAGATGTGGGACCTGCTTCTGCAGACAGTTTGGGGCCCCTCTGGCCCTGTCATATGGACGTCTACTTGATGGTGTGAGCATGTGCTGCCTGGAATGCGAAGCTCTTGCAGAGGGACCACATGGGTGCTGCCCTGCCCCTGCCTCCACAGATCAGAAGGGAGGTGGGGGGGCACGGTCTGTGCAATCAGAATCTGTGATCAGATGGGCAAAGCCTCCCAGGTAGATGGATGCTACACCACCGACATGGGGCAGGGACGTCTCCACAGAGAAGGGGACGTG